GACTGTCTTTTCCCCATTAACGGACTTTGTCAAATATCAGCTGCTCATAGGTGGATGAATTTATGTCTGGATTCTCAATTCTGTTCCGTTGGTCGATGTATCTGTTGTTGTACCAGTACCAGGCTGTTTTGACTACCGTGGTGGTTCTAAAATCTGGTAGTGTGAGGCCTCCCACTTTGTTCTTCTTCTTCAGTAATACTTTACTTATCCGGGGCCTCTTCCCTTTCCGTATGAAGTTGGTGATTTGTTTCTCCATCTCATTAAAAAATGCCATCGGAATTTGGATCGGGATTGCTTTGTATCTGTAGATCACTGTGGGTATAACTGACATTTTCACAGTGTTGAGTCTTCCTATCCATGAGCAAGGTATGTTTTTCCACTTATGTGGGTCTCTTTTGGTTTCTTGCAGTAGTGTCTTGTAGTTTTCATTGTATAGGTCTTTTATGTCTCTGGTTAGATTTATTCCTAAATATTTTATCTTCTTGGGGGCTATTGTAAATTGATTTGGTGATTTCCTTTTCGTGGGAGGCCTTTTGAGAAGCTTGAAGGGAAGAGAGGTAGGTTGGTAGCTGGAGGCAGGTGTAGGGTTCAAGAATGGTTTTTTTTAAAGGTGGGAGGCATTAGGGCTGAGAGAAAAAAGACAACAGAGACTCCTGGAGGAGGAGGTGGGAAGGCATGGTTGAAAGAGGCCCCAGAAGTAGGGGGAGTGGATAGGGCCCAGAGCACCAAAGTGGGGAGCAGAGTTAACTTTAAAGAGGTGGCAGTGCCATCCTTATCACACTGAGGGAGAAGGGGTGGGGAGGGGGATGTAGATGAGGATGTTGGCGGCTCAGGACAGTCTGATGGCTCCCATTTTCTCTGTTAGGTCTTCTGCTAGGGGTGGAGGTGAGGAGAGTGGAGGAACAGTCACTCTGGGACAGAGAGCTGTTCTGGATCCTCTGCTGTGGGGAGTGGAAGGTCATTTGGGGACTTACAAAGGGATTGAGGGTAGCACTGAGGATCTAGCAGAGGTGGAAACTGAGGTCTGGCAGGGCCAACAGTACCTCTGCACCCTGCTACCAAGCAGGTGGCAGGAGAGGTTGACTTTATCCTAGCTTCATTCTTGTCCCAAAATGCACACAGGTTTTCCTGTTCTGGGTACTCCCATCTTATGGTTTCCCATCTTTCTTCACTAGCAAACTACAGAGCCAAACTTTCCTGAGATCCTTTTAATTGCCATCAACAAGTATGGAGTCAGCCTCATCGATCCCAGAACCAAGGTGAGCAGCGACAGGAGTGAGCAGGCAGGGGCAGGCTTCTTCTCTACCTGGATGGTGGCCTCAGAAGGGTCTGTACCTCGGATGCAGCACACCCTAGACCCGAATCCTGAAAGCCCCTGCCAGCCCCATCCTCACTCTCATCTGCCCCTCTCAGCCACCCTTCTTGAAAGGTTATCTGTAGTTGCTGGCTCCACGTCCTTACCAAATCTAATGAACTCTAATTACTACTTGGCCTTTCAGCAGCATTCGATGCTACCAGCTGCTCCTTCCAAAATGCTCTGCCTGTATTGGTTAGGATGGTCATGTTGTGCTGTGGTAAAACACGTCCCTGCTGCTCATAGGTGTGAGCCAGAGCAATCCTGACCGGGGGGCCAGGAAGTGCAGTCCTACCATGTACCCGAAGGGGGCAGAACCGTATAGTTGGCTGACAGCACTAATGACCACCATCCGCTTCCCCGAACCCGCCCCCCTCCCCCACCCCACCCCAACCCCACCCCTCGCCCCATTTGGCATGTGCCACACTGTCCTGGTTTTCTTCTTATCTTTCTGGTCCTTTGTTCTCAGACACTTTTGTGGACTTCTTCTCTACCCAACCCATAATTGTTGTGTTCCCCAACACTCTGTCCTGAGTCTTTTTGTCTCCCTCCTCAAACTCTCCCTAGGTGATCTTATCCAGGCTCACTTCAGTTCCCTCAGGCCTCTCCCAGTTTTCTAATTTGAGCCCTATGTACCCAACAGCCTACTAGTCTGGACTGGATATCCAACCAACTGGTCCAAATCAAGGCATGGAAGAGAGAGGCACCTGCTTCCTACAGCAGCTCCGTGGCGGAGCTGGCCTCTCCCTGTTGCTCCTTTTCTTGTCAGAGGGCCTTTCATGCTGTGGTGTCCACGGGCTGGACCAGGGAGGAGTGAGACCAAAGGGTCCAGGCTGTGCAGCTTTATTCCCTTTCTGCTTCCCCAGGACATCTTGACCACTCACCCCTTCACCAAGATCTCCAACTGGAGCAGTGGCAACACCTACTTCCACATCACTATCGGGAACCTGGTGCGCGGGAGCAAACTGCTCTGTGAGACATCACTGGTGAGAGCCCTTCTTTCTGGGCCTGGTGCGTTCACTGCCTCGTCTGCAACTTCAGCATCCTCTTGGCCCCTGGGACAAACACGAGGAGTGCTGTAACTTGACCTGGGGTCAGGGTCAAGGGTTAGATTGGGGCCAGGGTCAGAGGCCAGTTTGAGGCTCAGTTTAGGGCTCGGGAAGGGGCTTAACCCCTTATTCACTCAACAACTGTTTTTTGAGTGCCTTCACTATCTGGGAATTGAGTCTGTAGTCATAGCCCTTTGGCCCTGAGTTCAACAGCAGAACCATCAGCAATGAGGTCTCCTGGACTGAGCTCAAACTTCCAAGGTGGCCTCAGCTGGAGGAGCCTTTAGAGCCACTCCTAGAGGTAGGCATCTAGAATTTGAAGGATCCACCATCTATGTACTTTATGTAGGCTCACAACAGCTTAGAACCTTAAACATAGGATGGATGAGTTCAACACTTTTCCAGATGCAGAGACTGAGTCCAAAGCAGGACAGGATTTGCCTTGCACCAGGGTTCTGCCCCCAGCCCTGGGTTCTGCCCACTGCACAGTTCCCTGGAGGCTGTATTCTGGGTTTGAGTGGGCTGGCCCTCTCCCACTCTGTGCTCTGCTTATCTTCTTGCCCCCGTGTCCAGGGCTACAAGATGGATGACCTCCTGACTTCCTACATTAGCCAGATGCTCACGGCCATGAGCAAACAGCGGGGCTCCAGGACCAGCAAGTGAACAGTGGTGAGAAAGGGCTGGCTCCGTGCTTGCTCCTTAGACAGCGGCTGGCTTAGGCCCATAAGCTACTTCTGCAGCTGGGGGAAGACCTTGGCTATCCAGGCAGGGAGGCTGGACTGGCTGGCCACCACTGACTGCACCAACTTGTCTTCTGATCCTCCTTCCAGTGAGGCAGCCTCACTGGTATGCAGAATTCCCCACTTCATCCACCCTTGAGGCACCTGGGTTGGGTTCTAGTAATGGCTTGCTATGACATTCCCGGTTGTAAGAGCCTGTGACCCTTGGATGCTTCTCCTATCTCAGAACAGTCCCACCATGCAACCCCCATTGACTTCCTATGCACTATTGGGACAGAGTAATCAAGAGGACAACCCAGCTCTCCATACTGGGAGCGCCCAAATGAAACATGCATTGAATAGAATAGTCTGAAGCCTAAGGGACTGGGATAATTCCCCTAAATCCAGGGTCTTTAGCTGGGGTGAGGGAGACAGACCACTTTTATATATTGCATTGTGAGTTCTGAATCCATGCTGAATCTCCCCTGTTCACCTCAGGGCATAAAGCATGTGTTTTATCCTCTGGCCCTACAGTCTCTTTCCTGGGGGAAGGGGAAGGTGTGTGTGTGTGGGGTCAGGACAGCATCCTTAGGGGAGCGGACTGCATAACTACTTCCTTGACCTGGTGTCTGCAGGGCCAAACTAGTCTGTTTAGGGGTCAGGGTGCCTGAGCCCAGGCCAAGCTGGTCTGGGTTTGGGGGCTGGGGTGCCTGAGCCAAAGGTGTGCTTGCAAGTGGCTTAAAGGATGCCAGGACCAGGGTAGGTTGGGGGAAATGCTGGGAGTCAGTGGGAGTCAACCTGGAGAGCAGGGTGCTAAGTGTGCATGAGATGGGGATATAGAGGAGAAACGAGTTTCTGGGCCTTAACGAGGGCTGGTGAAGTCATAGTGGTCCTTACATCTTTCCAGAAATATCTCTTTTGCTCATCAAGACACATTCAAGAACCCTAAGAACGATGCTGCATTGGGTTAAAGGCTTACATCCAGAAGGTGTCTGTAAAGTGTTACTTCATGACTGGGATGGGAAAAACAAGTTTGGGCATGACCTGGGCAGGTCCGGGGGTGGGGGACTTCAGGCGTAGGGGTCAGGGGATCCTCCTGGGATGTTGTTGGGATGAGTGCCCGGAGAAGTGACAGTAAATAATACCCTTGAGGTAGGAGTGCTTGCGACCCCAAAATCTCAATCTGTTTGGCCTTGAAGTTCCTGATACTTCAGCAGTCAAGTCCTGCTTCCTCTCACACACGCAAGGGCTGGAGTTATTCACATCTCTGTGCTCAACAACTCAATAGGGAGTGCTATTCCTATTCTCTCCAGCTGCCTGGGTAGGAGTGGGAGAGGGAGGTGTGTTGGGAAGTGGAGGCCCAAACAGGTTGGCCCTGATTTCTGGGACGATAATTTGGCTGTCTAAGGAGGCATCTCAGCCCCATCAATGTTTATATGACTCAACAGTCAGCCCAGGATAAAATCTGAACTAGAAGGAAGGTGCTGTGGTGACCTGCCTCTACAGCATCATCATACAGATGGGGATGCTAAGGCCCAGAGAGAGAGTGTAAATGGGTAATGGTCACACTGTGAAACTCAATTCACCACTAATAAATATTGGGCTCCCCCAGACAAAAGGGCTCCAGATGCTTGTTCAAAGCTCTAGCTTCCGTTCTACGCCAAAGGTAAGCATGGGATTGTGCCCACCATCCCACTGAGGAATCAGCCAATGACAAGCTATTAGGAAGCATCCCACTGCACACTGGAGCACAGAATGTATATGAGGGATGAGATCATTGTCCCTGACTCATGCCCATGCCACCTCTCCCCCTCTGGCTCAGGATGACATCACTATTGTACTTGTCCCCCAGTCCTGGGTGATCAGAGAGGGTCCCAAAGAAAACACCATTACTGTTTGTCTTCCTGAGAGGTTGCCTTTATTTACAGGCTGATCTTCACCACAGTCACTCCTTTAGCAGGGACTATATAGAAGGATTAGGATGAGAAAAACCCTGCAATACCCAGAAAACCACCATCACCATCTCCGAGACCACACAGAACTGTTTTCCCCTTGCCCTTGAGAGGCATTCTTTATAGAAAGGCTGGACCAAAATGGACTCCGAGAGCCTCAATGGTCCTTCTGCACTCCTTTCTTTACCACTCCCCACCATCACCACCCATAGAGACAGACAGGAAAAGGAAGAAGGGGGTAAGGTGTGGCTAGTTCTTCATCCAGGACATCCTAAAGCTGGTATCTGCTGTTACAAAGGATTCCTGGGAGGAAGATTGAACGATGGGGGCCTCCGTGGGGTTTGTTTTAGGATGGAGGGCCATGTTGGTGGGAATTTTGCATTCATGCACCTTTAAGACAGGCAAGGCAGTTTGGAGGGTGGACCGTCTGGTGGCGCACGAGACAGATGTTTTGGTTGGCTCGAAGAGCTGCTTTTTGGGCTCTGGTGGTTTAATGTTATCCTTGGCAGGCGTCACAGGTTTGATGTTTTGCTTGAATAGTTGTTTTTTGGCTTTATTCTTCTTCGGGGGTACTGTCAAACGGAAAGCACTTGAATGGTGACTTGTGCTGCTGGCTAAACCTGGGTAGAGGGCTTTTGGAGTCCAAGGACTTTCTGAGACTCGGTTGAGAGGCTGTGTGGATAAAGTTTCTCGAATCTTTCTCTCTTGGGGGCCCCTACTCTGAGTATCTGTGGGATAAAAAAGATAGAAACACAAGACTCCTCAAATGTCTTCTCCAAACTCTGTTTGCCATGTGATTGAAATCTAGTCAGCTGTCAATTAGCCCCTTACCCTCCCAGGTTATTTCCTCCAAACTCACCCACTCACCCACCCCAAGATTTTATGCAGATGTTATTAAGGTCCTCCAATTCTGCCTGGGACTGAAGAGTCCATTGTGTGAGGCTTTAGCTCACCAAGGAAGCTCTCAAAAGGCAGGGACTGACCTTTCCTTAAAGTTCATGCATTTTACAACCATTGCTTCCAAATCAATTTAAATAGAAGCATAAGCACTCCTCAACAGAATGGCGGCTTGAAGGCAGAGAAAAAAATTTTTTTTTGTCTGACTGATGGAAAAAATATATGATAGAGACTTCTAATAATGGAACTTGGAAATTGGGACCAATCCTCTTACTTAAAACAAATTAAAAATAATAAAACATCTTAAAATTATCCAAGAGTTAATATAGTGAGGAACTGTGGGGCCAAAATCTAAAAGAATGTGAGAACCCAAAGAAGAAAATCCAGGATTCAAAATTATTTTTACTCTTGAGCATAATTTCAATCTGGAAGACACATCTACACATATAATCTGCATTTTTGTCAGCTTCACTGGAGGAGATTTTTATTGGACTTGAGTCTGTAGGTCAATTGCATGACAATTAATATATTTATGATACTGAGTTTTCTAATTCATGAACACGGTACATTGCTCCGTTTATTTGTCTCTTTCTTTCAGGTTTTGTACTTTTCAGTGACCCTTTATATATATTCCTTTGTGAGGGCTTCCAAAGCTTTCATTAAATTTATTCCTAAGTAGTGTATGCTTTTATTGCTATTCTAAGTGACGTTATTTCAAAATTTTGTAATTTTCCAATAATTCATTGCTAATATGTAGGCATACAACTGATTTTTTGTAAACTGACCTTGTATCTAACTCATTTCTTAGTTCCAACAGGTTTGTTTGTTGTTGTTTGATTCCTTAGAATTTCTTATGTAAACAATCATTATCAACTGTGAATCAGGACAGGTTTATTTCTTCCTTTTCAATCTTTATGCCTGTTATTCCTTTCTTGCCTTATTATACCGGCTAGGATCTCCATGACAATGCTGAACAGAAGTAGTGAAAGCAGATCTATCCCTGCCTTATTTCTGATTATTGAAGGAAAATATTCAGTGTTTCATCATTAAGTATATTGGCTATAGTTTTTTTGTGGTACCTCTTATCAGACTGAGGAAGTTCCATTCTATTCCTAGGTTGCCAGGAGCGTTTATCATAAATGCGTGTTGAATTTTTTGTCCCTGTATTTTATGCTTTTTCCCTGTATTTTAATACGGTGGATTATATTGATTTTCAAATGTTAAACCCATCTTGCACTACTGGGATAAATCCCACTTGCTCATGATGTATTATCCTTTTTATATACTGATAAATTCAATTTGTTAATATTTGTTAATAATTTTTATATCTAAGTTCATGAGTGGTATTAACCTGTAAATTCAGTTTCTTACAATGTCTTTGACAGGTTTTTTATATCAGAGTATTGCTGGCTTCAAAGAATGAGCTGAGAAGTGTTCCTTTCTCCTCTTTTTATCTGATTTTGTGTAAGATTGGTATTATTTTTTCCTGAAATATATGATTCACCAATGCTGGGCCTAGAATTTCTTTGTGGTGACACTTTTGATATAGGAATTCAATTCTGATAGATAGTGGGTTATTTAAATTTTCTATTTTTCTCTCAGTTCTGGTATATTGTGCATTTCAAAGAATTTGTCCATTTCATTTTTCAGGTTTAATGGCATGAAAATGTTCATAATATTCCCTTACTTTTCCTTTTATGTCTAGGATCTGTAGAGATAGTCCCTCTTACATTTGGTAATCAATCTCTGTATATCTACATATGTCTATATTTACCTGTTTTACAGATATATGTCCACCTGTTCATCTCTCTTGATAAGAGTTTATCAGTCTTACTAATATTTTCAAAGAACCAACTTTCAAAAAAAATTTGGTGAAAATATTCATAGACAAAGATACATCATTTCAACAATTTCTACATGTACAATTGAGTGACATTGGTTACATTCTTCAAGTTGTGATACTATGCTCACTATCCTTTTCCACATTATTCTACCACCATTATCTTAAACTCACTGGCCCCAAGCTTCCCATCTAACATTCCCAGTTGCCGTTGTCAATTTGATCTCACACAGATAATTCTTTAAAAGAGGACAATGCTCAAAGTAGATGTACTTTACTAATTAAAATAAGCTATTTTTGTTCAAAGACTTCAGGGGTAGTTTTGGCTTAAGGTTTACAAGTTTAAAGATCATCTAAGGACAATAATTTCAGGGGCTCATCCACCCTCAATGGCTCCAGAAAGTCTGAATTCCATTGAGAACTTGAAATTTGGTTCTGATTTTCCCCCTTTTGGTCAGTATTCTTCTATAGAATCTTTGATCAAAATGAAAGAACCAACTTTTTTTTATTATTTTGTTCATTGTACTTTAGATGAAGGTTTACAGAGCAAACTAGTTTCTCATTAAACAATACACATATTGTTTTGTGACAATGGTTACCAACCCCACAACATGTCAACACTCTCCCCTTCTTGACCCTGGGTTCCCCATTACCAGTTTTCCTGTCCCCTCCTGCCTTCTCATCCTTGCCCTTGATCTGATGTGCTCATTTAGTCTCATTTGTTTTATGCGTCTGTCTAATCTTTGCTAAAGGGTGAACCTCATAAGTGACTTCATTACTGAGCTATAAGAGTGTCCCGGGGCCATAGTCTCAGGGTTTCTCCAGTCTCCATCAGACCAGTAAGTCTGGTCTTTTTTTTTGTGTGTGTAAGTTAGAATTTTGTTCTACATTTTTCTCCAGCTCTGTCCGGGACCCTCTATTGTGATCCCTGTCAGAGCAGTCAGTGGTGGTAGCTATGCACCATCTAGTTGTGCTGGACTCAGTCTGGTGGAGGCTGTGGTAGTTGTGGTCCATTAGTCCTTTGGACTAATCTTTCCCTTGTGTCTTTGGTTTTTCATTCTCCCTTGCTCCAGAAGGGGTGAGACCAGTGGAATATCTTAGTCGGCTGCTCACAAGCATTTAAGACCCCAGATGCTACTCATCAAAGTAGAATGTAGAATATTTTCTTTATAAACTATGTTATGCTAGTTGAGCTAGATGTTCCCCAAGATCATGGTCCCCACAGCCCTCAGCCCAGTAATTTGGTTTCTTGGGGAGTTTGGATGCATCTATGGAGCTTCCATGACCTTGTCTTGGACAAGTTGTGCTGGCTTCCCCAGTACTGTGTACTGTCTTACCCTTCACCAAAGTTAACTATTTATCTATTGTCTATTTAGTGTTTTTCCCGCCCACCCTTCCCCTCCCTCATAACCATCAAAGAGTGTTTCTTTTTGTGTGTTAACTTTTCCATAAGTGTTTATAGTAGTGGTCTCATACCATATTTGTTTGTGACTGACTTATTTTCACTCAGCATAATGACCTCCAGATTCATCCATGTTGAGATGCTTTGCAGATTCATCATTGTTCTTTTGTTCTTTATCATTGCGTAGTATTCCATTATGTGTATGTACCATAGTTTATACATTCATCTGTTGATGGGCACCTAGGTTGTTTCCATCTTTTTGCTATTGTGAACAATGCTGCAATGAAAATGGGTGTGCATATGTCTATTCATGTGACGCCTCTTATTTCTCTAGGGTATATTCCTAGTAGTGGGATTGCTGGATCATATAGTATTTCTATTTCTAGCTTTTGAAGGAAGCACCATATAGTTTTCCAAAATGGTTGTACCATTTTGTATTCCCACAAGCAGAGCATAAGAGTTCCAATCTCCACGCAGCCTCTCCAACATTTGTTATTTTCTGTTTTTTTGATCTGTGCCAGTAATATTGGGGTGAGATGGTATCTCACTGTAGCTGTGATTTGCATTTCTCTAACAGCTAGTGATCTCGAGCATTTCCTCATGTATTAGGAGCTTGAGTGTCTTCTTTGGTGAAGTGTTTGTTCATATTGTTTGCCTATTTTTTAATTGGGTTATTTATCTTTTTGTTGTAGAAGCATTAGATATTCCTGTCGATTTTAGAGATTAGACCTTTGTTGGATTTGTCATAAACAAATTTTTTTCCCCGTCTGTAGGTTCTCTTTTTACTCTTTTGGTGAAGTGTTTTAATGAGTGTGTTTAATTTTGAGAAGATCCCAGTTATCTAGCTTATCTTCTAGTGTTTGTGTATTGCTAGTTATGGTTAATGTTATGTTAATACCATGTATTAGGGCCTCTAGCATTGACTCTATTTTTCCTTCTATAATCTTTACAGTTTTTGGTTTTATATTTAGGTCTTTGATCCATTTTGAATTAGTTTTTGTGTATGGTGTGAGGTGTGGGTCCTGTTTCATTTTTTTTTGCAGATGGACATCCAGTTTTGCCGGCACCATTTGTTAAAAAGACTGTCTTTTCCCCATTTGATGGACTTTGGGCCTCTGTCGAAGATCAGGTAACCATCCGTGGATGGACTTACATCTGCGTTCTCAATTCTGTTCCATTGGTCAATGTGTCTGTCATTGTACCAGTACCAGGCTGTTTGGACTACCGCAGTTGTATAGCAGGTTCTAAAGTCAGGTAGCACGAGGCCTCCTACTTTATTCTTCTTCTTCACTAGTGCTTTACTTATCTGGGGCCTCTTCCCTTTCTATATAAAGTTAATGATTAGTTTTTCCATCTCCTTAAAAGAATGCTGTTGGCATTTGGATTAGGATTGCACTGTATTTGTAGATTGCTTTGGGTAGAATTGACGTTTTCACAATGTTACTTCTACCTATCCATGAGCATGGCATGTTTTTCCATTTATGTAGGTCTCTTTTGGTTGAAAGAATCAAGTTTTTACTTTGTTCATTTTCTCAATTGTTTGTCTCTTTTCTATTTCATTGATTTCTGCTCTTTATCATTTCCTTCCT